CCGCCCCAATTCCCCGACCACGCCCGACCGAATAAAAGTGCTTATCAGTTTATCAATATAGCGGACGCGCGCGCGTGCGCGAAGCAGATAAGGACTCCGCTAAATAACAACATCGGCAGTCCACGAGTGCCAGGCTTTTAGAATAGAAGAGTGTCTTTATATTTATTCGCCTTTAAGGTGACACGCACCCGCGCCTGCGTGCAATAAAATAATTACGCGGCTCGATTTTATTACCGCCACAGATATTTGCAATTTTGCACGGCCGATTTCTGATCGGTACGCCTCGTTCGCGCGAGGTTTATAATACCAGTGATATCATTTTATTTGGCGCAATGCGTGCTTCGCGCGCGCCGGCTCGACATCACGCTGTGCAACCGAGAAAATGTTTCTGCAGCGTTGATAAATATAGCCGTATTCACGTGCGTATTTTCTTAAGAGGCACTGTTATTTTTTTCGCGCCTGGCTGAAGGAATAACTGTCATCTTAATGTGTCGGGGTGCGATTAAAGGTTGCGCATGTGCGTGTCGTGATTTTGAAATTATGTTAGTGTTCCAATATAAAAAAAAAAAAAGAATGAAAGTGTTCGTACTGTTTCATAACTTCTTGCATTCGCACACACGTGAGCATGCTAAGTATCCATTGTTCTATGATAAAATAATTATTTTAGTAAATCCCCGAAGAAATCTATTCTGCATTTTCATATTTACATTTGTTACATTTATGTCAAAAATTCTTTAACTTCTAACTCATCTTGGAATTAAAAGAATGAAAGAAAAATAATAATCGTTACAAAAAGACTCATTCTCGTTACAACCTACGCACGTAGAACCCGAAAGCATACTATTGCGCGCGTTTGGCATATTCGCGTGCGATATTCCTGCTAAATGCATCGTCTCGATGCGGTTGTATCGTCTCGAATTTCCGATCGCACCTGTACCTCATCAGCATTCAAATCGGCGTCAATGCGGATGGTGTTCGCTGAAACGCGTTCGCGTTATAAAGGAAGGCAGAGGAGTAAGTATGTGGCCGGAGAGCGCGGGATGCACTCGGTAGGGAAACGATCGCGAACACGAGCCACGCATTCCCCGCTTAAGTGAATTCCGTTGACCGCGGCACGGATGTCGAAAAACAGCAGAGATCGAACAAGCGCGCGTGCGACTGAACGCACGATCTGTGCACGCATTTGCGTCTCGCGCGGACCTCTTTGTGCTCCATATAAAACGGGGGCATTGGATGGAGTTAAAGGAAACCGTGGACGGAAGACACAGACACGACGACACGAATGATAATGAATTAATGTGACTACGATATATATGCAACTCATTGACGATAATATTTAGTGATGTATTACACTTCGCATCGCGTTCGAAATATTATATAGCACAATGCACTTTTAAATTTCTCCAGTTATGATAATGATATTAGATGCTGCATTCATTGCATTGCATAATTTTCATGATCATAATTTTCCATCGTTCTGTACGATGCAACGTAAAGTTGCGGAAAGTATTATCAAATATTCCGGAAGTTACTGCAGCAATTTTATCAAAATGTTTGAAAGAATTATCGATATGGATATATATGAATACAATGTCATTGTCATGACGTTTCTCGTCACCTCATTACGCAGTCATCTTACATTAGCCTCTTTTGCGCCTTTTATCCCCCGGCACGTATCTAATACCTACTTGGGCGATCAATTGATGCGCGACATAACTTCGCGTCGAAGATGCCGGTGGCTGGTACATAGAATCACACTTAGTGAATATATATCCGGTAGATGCGGGAGAGACAGAGAGCCCCCCCCAAGAACGATGCCTACTTCGTCGTCTTCGCCTTGCTCCTCCCGTGAGGAAGTTCTATCAACGCACAGAGGCAGCGAACGGTAGCCACCTATGACCTCTTACTACGCAGGGGCGCACCGATCTCCGCAAGTTTGTGTAAACTTGCGGAGAAATTAATTAAAATTTATTTTCTTAGCATCTAGTGCTTAACTGTGTGCGAGATCAAGACAATGCATCCATCAAGGAAGACAATGTAGATTTAAGATATATATTCTTATATTATACTCTTTCTTTCTTTCCGTCATATCATCATCATTAATCAATTGATTTACACAGCGATTTTATAATTAAACCAAGAGTATCCTTCACAAAAATTAATTATAAATGTAATTATATATTTTACTTTTCTAAAAAATGAAGACTTTAAAGATCTGCATAGAAGAAGTAAGACACGAATGTATAGAGATAAAATGGCACAAAATTTCACAAAATTTCTACGTCCAGCACGAAAAGTCCGCTGGCGATTTTAGAAATTATGCGATGGGGTCGCGTATGCACTTTCACGTGGGCGCCTCGCGAGTTTCCGAAGAAGTTACGATATACGGTTGATCTACGGACAACAATTAAGCATGGCATTATAAATATCGCGTTCGCGCGTTTGCCAACGTAACTCCTTCGTCGGCCGGAGGCAACGTAATGGCGCCTGAAAGATGCGTACCTGACCTCTAATGCGCGTAGGTGAACCTACGCACCCTATGAGAACCTCATCTTTGCCGGTGCATACATTCGCTCTTCTCTCTACTCCGTTTACCTGAGAAGCGAATGGAAATTGGTTGGCAAAGTCGGAGACAAGTCGATAGCTTTCTAATAAATCGACAATTGTTCGAATATGCGTTCTTACTTCATATATCAACGAGAACTCCATAATAAACGGCTTTATGTTTCCTAGACACGGTCTTCCTGTTTCGAAAAAACTTATGTGCCAAGAAAATAATTGAATGGTTTCCATATAAAAAAAATCATGTATCTTTATATTAAAACTGTGGATAATGAGTTTCTAAAACTTTTCTTTTTCAAAAAGAGAGAAATATGATAGTAGACTTTACGTCATTATATTAACGTAAGTCTTAATTATTAGATTTCAAATTTAACTGTTGATTGATCCATGATATTAAATTTTAAACACATCTATATGTATATTTATTTTCAGATTATCTATTGTCAAGTTCATTATTTGTGCACTCCTATGAAAAATTCTGTGAAAATACCACAATATTATTAAATTTCTCAGATGTAATCTGGTGGCATTATCGCTTTTTCAGCCAGTCGTAATCTCTAAATATATCTGCTATCGCAGTCGTATCTGCTACGATCTCTCCTAAAAGCTACATTTGCCGGTCGAGTCCTTCGGGCCGAGGTGATTTTTCCGAAATATGTAACGCGCGTCGCGTCGGGAAATATTTAAATCGTCTCTTCTAGTATCAGGTATCGGCGCTGGCTCGCAGCCATAACCGCGGGCGGAATAATTTTGAGCCGCTCACGATAATAAATGCGCGCGCGTCACGAGCTTCACGTGCGTGAGACTCGATCTCGGGGGGGCTCTACTAGTTTATAGGGTTCCTCCTCTCTTTTATGTCTGCGGTATACCCAGCCACATACGATAATGCGCGCTTTTCCCCGGCAGTGTCACCGTCGCCCAGAACAGGCATAGCATTAACTGGCCGTTGCCCGCGCGCGACTCGCACGAGGACGATCTCGCCTCTCGACTCGTAACCGGCGCCTCCTCGGCCTCTACGGTCCATCAAGGTAAGCGGTAGTGGGTATATACGGTAGCCGTCAACGTGTCAACCGGTGACTAATGGATCCACGCTGACGAGACGACGTTGGTAGCGCCGACCCGGTCGTAAGTAGCGTGGTCGATAGCGGTGCCGGCGATATAAGCGGTATATAAGCGTCGCCTTATTATAAATAGACACTTAAGACACTTGAGGCTCGCACTACTCTCTTGGAACACGGAAATTCATCTTATCAGTCAAGAAGAAATAAATTACACCCGCTTGGTTTAACTCGCGTGATTAGGCAAGCGCTTTCTCATCGGACCTCAGACAAGGAGCTTTATCCAAATTAAAATTGTTTCAAATGCGAAGAAAGTGAAATTATGGCATATACAAATGCTTTTTTATTTATTTTGATTATTTAAAAGTCCATTAGAAAGGCTAGAGATACGAGTGTTTGAGATACAGGAGTAGAAAAATTGACGTAAAGTATTCAGTTAATGTTACCGAAGCCAAATCTGATCAAATGGCTTGGAAAATTCTTGCCATTTGTTGTCTTAAGTGCTATTTGGATAGGACTATGAAATACCTGTAGAGCTGACTTTTCTCATTCCACGTTATATGACATCCAACGTAATAATGATTCCGTGATACGAGATATAATGTCGCCGGTAGAAGACGTTTAATGTTCCTGATAATAACGCACGTTAAGATTCAGAGATATCTAATCATTCGATTATGGCCCTTCACTTTTGCTCGCGGCGATAGCGCACATCGTTTCGACATTGTGTTCCGAGAAAACGTTTCTCGACACGCAATGGTTCCGCGAATGGGCGTGATTATCTTTCATTTATGCGGACCAACGGGCGGCACAATGTGTTTGCTAATCTGCGATATAAACGTCCGGTAAATTTACTCGCGACACGCGAATTTCAGCGAAATAATGTTCGTCCGGAGCAATGATCTCATCCCCCGAATGTGTCGAGATTGTCGTTAAGATACACGACGACAATTCTCGATACGTAAATCTTATACGTGAAAGCTCGCAGAATGTTCGCTTGGTGCGCGAGCAATCAATACTTGTGTTATCGTTAACGATGACATAAATAGCCACAATGTGTGTTTGGTAAATGGTAGCCACCCTCGAAGAACGACATATCTTGCTTTTCATATATTTGTTCCGAGCTCTATTTTGTAACATTTCCTTTTTGTTTCTGTTCCGCAGCAATTTAACCTTTTTACTTTCAATATAATCGTGCAATTGCCTTTAATAAAACCTTTACTCTCATTGACTCATTAATACTCCGATAAACACAATTTCGTACATATAAAATGTGAATGCGATATGTAAGGAGATACGGAAAGAGATATAAAAAGAGAAAGATCTTTTGAAAGGAGCCGAGTGGGCGACCAACGTTGCAATCATCAATGATTTACTTACTTATCCCATGATTTACTTATCCCACATGTTCTCGAGTATCCTCCCTCCTTGCAAATCTCCCTTTTCGACGAATCTTCCTCTCTCATTGCTTCTTCGCCTGAAATCAGTCTTCGAGTGATGCACCGATGCTCGATTTATCGTTCATCTCTATCTTCCGACTTGCGTATCGCATTAGAATTTTCTCTGTTTTTCTTCGTCTCCTCCTTGCTAGAGCGGCCAACAGGTGACAGGTACTCATCTAAAACAATTACGGAGAATCGCGGTTATTTACGAGATAGAGAGCGTCATTGACGCTGGAGAGGAGGAGCGATGATTCGAATAGCTCCTCGGGCGACTAGGCGGCCGTGAACGGCCGGCATGATTGAGAGCGCATAATGCGAGATGTTGAGGCAGGTCGGAAATCAGCGCTAATGATCGGGCGTGGGTGCGAATTAAGCGGCGATGGCCGCGGAGGACGATGTGCCGACGACCTCGCGGTTCCGGGGACGGATTGAACGTGCAAACTCACCTTCTACGAGCAATTATATTGTCTTCTCGCGTTAACAGTCGTATATACGAAACACCAACCATCATGAAAATGTTTAATTAGATGCACGTTTCATGTTCCGGACAATTAATGTGTCGATTACTCGCATGCTCTCCTGCCTTCGATCGCCCACGAGTGACGCATCATCCAAGTCGTCGCGGGTTCAATACATTTATTCCGAAGAGACTGCATGCCGATGGATTATGTAAATTCGTGGTCGCATCGCTGCTTCAGCTTTCCATAATGCTATTTTATTTCAATCGAAATGCGCTAAAAGTGCTATTTAGGATAGTAAATGTGAGGAGATATACGTTTTAACTAATGAGAGATTACAACATTAACGAGGAATCCATCCCACGCATATAGATTTACCGATAATTATCGTCGACATTGTGCATCGATAAAACTGCGGGATATAAATTACAATATAAATTACGAATTCCATTCCGCTCCATCTTTCCTCGGGATTTATGCCAAGATTACCGCGATATTATGCACACGCTCTCACAGCCGAGTATTCTTTCAATAATTTACCGATTATCCGCTCAATTATCGAGTAACGTTCTCTTTAGTCGAGCAACAAAGAAGCCTCGTTTACTCCTCGTATCGCTATCGCATTCCAGCGGACGTAGCGCATCTCAAAAACGCGCCTCCGCTGCGCGACATTAACGCTCCGCTCATTTACATCGGGCGGTCGAGCGCCGTTAATTGGTATCGGATCTCAATTACCGTAGATTACGGTGGCCTTTTTTCACCTGTTACCGCGAGCGAGAATGCTCGCAGCTTGGCGCGCGATAAGGCGTTTATGACTACCGCGCACACGATGCCAAGGTTGATTTTTCTCTCTCTCTCTCTTTCTTTCTCTCTCTCCTTCTCATTTTCGAACCGTCTTTCCATTTCTCTGCTTCCTCTTTCTTAGGTTCAATTTATCGGGTCTTAAGATACATGCGGGAGTATTGTCACCGGTGGCGGTGACTGCATACAGAAGGCGTCGTCTTTTTCGCCTCCGCAAATGGACGCTTCTTCCCGCGAAGAAAAGAATCACCGTACCATAATTCATGCGACATTAACGGAATTAGCATAGCAATCTCATTGACTGGCTATGTATGTGTATATATATATAGAATATTTCATCTCAAGTTTCGAGATCGCACACGTTGAAACATATATATAATAAATAGAAAAAAATGATACTTACGAGAAGTGTTTTGGTTTCAAGTATGTTAATCAAAGATTAAATCTTTTTCTAGACAGAGGCATTTATCACTGTGATATATTTTCTCTCTCGTTCTGGATTTTCAAGCTATACGATCTGAATTGAAGTGAAATAATCTACGTGTCCAACGTTCACTTGGCCATGCCGTCGTGACTTTTAAAGCCGTTCAAATCGTGATGCGATCGGCCGACCCTGTTTCGTTTCTTCGGAGGAACGATCGCGAGACGATCCGGTAATCGCACCTGCATATCGATGGCGGTACACCTACGCGTGAATTCTTTCGTCCGGAATGACATTGTCACCGGTGGCGGTGACTGCATACAGAAGGCGTCGTCTTTTTCGCCTCCGCAAATGGACGCTTCTTCCCGCGAAGAAAAGAATCACCGTACCATAATTCATGCGACATTAACGGAATTAGCATAGCAATCTCATTGACTGGCTATGTATGTGTATATATATAGGATATTTCATCTCAAGTTTCGAGATCGCACACGTTGAAACATATATATAATAAATAGAAAAAAATGATACTTACGAGAAGTGTTTTGGTTTCAAGTATGTTAATCAAAGATTAAATCTTTTTCTAGACAGAGGCATTTATCACTGTGATATATTTTCTCTCTCGTTCTGGATTTTCAAGCTATACGATCTGAATTGAAGTGAAATAATCTACGTGTCCAACGTTCACTTGGCCATGCCGTCGTGACTTTTAAAGCCGTTCAAATCGTGATGCGATCGGCCGACCCTGTTTCGTTTCTTCGGAGGAACGATCGCGAGACGATCCGGTAATCGCACCTGCATATCGATGGCGGTACACCTACGCGTGAATTCTTTCGTCCGGAATGACGCGCAACCAGCCAAGTCGACGTGTTCCCTTGGAATTACAAGATACGAAGTCTGGAGACAAGTGCTGGAGAATTGTGAGATTTTATTTTACCGAAAATATACTGTTAAATAGCTACAATACTCCAACGATTTATTACAGTCGCTTACAGATGTTAGCAGTGCGCTTCAGTTATTTTTTTCAAGTCTCTTTCTTTAAAATTTAAAATGATACTTCTACTACCGTTAGTTAAGAATTCAGATTTTCGAGATTAGCAAAAAGATTGATAAAAAGATATTTAAAGATTTTCGCAATCTCTTCCATTTTTATCTAACAAAATAAAACCTACATCCTATTTTAATACGAATTAAAAAAGATTTCGGCTGAATGCATAGAAATACGCTAAGCAAAGAAAGAGAGAAAGAAAGAGAGAGAGAGAGAGAGAAAGGAAAGTTCCACCTGTGTCTCCGAGAATCAATCTCGGGAGCGAATCAGACCCTGAACGAGCGGAGTTAGAGTGGACTTAGGCGGAAGAGAGACAGGCGTCCATGGAAAGAAGGCTTCGAGGAAGTACACTTCGACCTTCCCGTGATGCCAGTCGTTATCGCGCACCGGGCATCGCGTGCCGCAACCCTACCGTAGGCGAGTTCCCTCTTATCGTGCATCTACCACCACCTGCGAGAGATCGAGAGCGCGGTAATCGTCTCACGGTAGTTCCCCGGAGCGCATCCCGGCACCGTCCCGCTTCTCCGCAGCATCATCGTCCTGATTCAGACGGAGGAAACAGGACGTGCGGGACGTCGCACGGTAACCGCAGACCGGTACCGCCTTTGGCGCAAGCGCGCATAATGAGAATGATATAATAACGACGCGCACCGGCCGGCGCGGTATTCTCGGCGACACAACTCATCCCGATAAAAGGATACCGCTTTCTCGTAGAAGCGGAGAATAGAAGGTCGAGGAACGGAACGGGCAGCGGAGGAGCACCGGCCGTGGACCAGCGAAGAGGAGCGCGTCTTCGGGAACGAAACAGGGTAAGACGAGGCGGTATGTCCGTCGCGCGCAGGAGGAACGATGTAACCAGTCGGGTTAATTAAGAGGATCCAACCTTGACGGACGTAGCCATTGTGCACGTGCTGCACCCCGTCCCGTCCCGCTTCTACCTTCTTTTCTCCTCCTCTCGGCGCGTGATACGTACTTAAACGCGTCCACATATGTACACGTCCGCGGGACACCGTCGTACTTCGTTCTTGTCGTGCACCATTTACGGAGAACTTCTTACGGGCCTCTTGCACGCGTTGAAGAAACACCGAGAATTGGTCACATAAGTTTTCTGCTCTATCTCTTTCGCCGTAAAAAAAAGTGCGCGTTATTGGAAATTTACGTTATAGATGCAGAATATTTTTCAGCATTGCGCGAAATTGTAAATAAACGCGCCAATCGCAAAGGCAATAAACATCTAAATCCTTCTTTTCTTTTTACTAGCGAAACGCGTATTTAATAATTAAACCATTGAGCACTTTTAAAGGAAATTAAGACATCATAGCACATAATCTAAACAGCCGTTTGTGGCGCATATAAAGACTCGAGATTAATGGAATCCGCGAAGATATGCTGCCTTTTGTTCGTACAGTTTTCTAAAAATGATTTTCGTATATCGAGATAACGTAGTCGCGACTCTCACGCGTCGTTTACGCAGCGTTCCATTATCTTTTCGCCGTTGCAAAGACGAATAAGCTGCGCGCGTGCACGCGGCTGATAGCGCATTATACGTCCCGCGTGCAAAAGCTGGTCCGGCGCGGAGATATAAAACCGAGGGGGCGTCCCGGTGACAATTAACAGACCCGCTCGACCACAAATCACCGGGCGGCAAGCTCTAATCACAACCGCGAGACCGCTCTCTTCCTTTCTCGCACCGCTCTCCCCCGCCGACTTGGCATCTCTCTCTCTTTCTCTTTCTCTCTCTCTCTTCCTCAGATGTTGCTGTGATATATAATAGTATCGGGTCTCGTGAAACCACTGCTGAAAGCGCACCGCGCTAAGGTGCGACACGTTTAAAAGCGATCTCGAGACCGCGAGATCGCCAACTGTTCCCTTACGACCCACTTTCTCGACGCCGATCGCGTTTCCTGTCACTAACGTGCGGGTGTAAATTTCAATTTTCAGATTGCCTCGTAAATCGTACGCTCTCCATACGAGGAAGTGTGCGGCGGATAAGCGTAGACTAGACAAAAGCGTTGTCTCGACCGAAGCGGATAATTGAGATAGCACACTGCTGATATCCTTACGCTTTGATGTATATTAACGTCCGTCTGCGTTAAAATTCCGATTTTATTAAGCAACAAAATCTATTAGAATTACGAAATGATATAAACGACGCGAATGATATAATTTTAATCTCGTAACAATAATAAATCGCTAAAAGAAGTTTGCGATGTAGTATGAGAACTTAATCAATGTAAAATATAAAATCTTGTATCTAATGAGAAATGAGAATTAGCTCTCCTCTTAAATCTCAATGAATTCAATAGGATTATTAGCGATCGTGTATCATCCCAACGAGTTCGATCGACAGCGAAAACGCAGGAAAGATAAAACGCTCTAGAAAAATGAGCTTTCCTGATGTTCAACGATAAACGAGATCCCATGCTTCAGCGAATCTATTACATCGCA